TGCCCAGCCTTCTTTGTCTTCTTTTGAGAAATATCTTCTGATGTTGTTTGCCTACTTTAATTGGGACTTTTTTTTTTTACTGTTGAGCTGTTTGAGATATTTGTGTATTGTAGACATTAGTCACTGGTTGGATGGGTAATTGACAAATATTTTCTCCCATTCAAGAGGTTGTCTATTCTGTTATTTCTTCTGCTATTTTTTCTTTCTTTCTTTTTTTTTTTTAATGCACTTTCATTTTGGCTCAGCACCCACAGCTCAGTGGTTAGGGCGCCTGTCTATCACCCTTAGTGTTTATCATTTCTTTGTTTGGTATCATTTCATGTCCTTTCTTGGGGTATGGTGGGTTTGAATCCGGCCCAGGGTGCTATACAACAGTGACAACTATAATAACAACAACAGAATGGTCAGACATTGTGGCAGGCATCTGTAGTCTCAGCTACTTGGGAGGCTAAGGCAAGGCAATCACTTAAGCCCAAGAGTTTGAGGTTGTTGTGAGCGGGGATGCCACAGGACTCTACCGAGGACTACATAGTGAAACTGTCTCAAAGAAAAAACGCACTTTCATTTTATGTATTTATTTATTTATTTTTGAGGCAGAGTCTCACTCTGTTGCCCAGGCAAGAGTACTGTGGCATTAGTCTGGCTCACAGCAACCTCAAACTCCTGGGTTCAAGTAATCCTCCTGCCTCAGCCTCCCTAGTAGCTGGGACTAGAGATGCCTATCATGACGCCTGGCTAATTTTTCTTTCTTTCTTTCTTTTTTATACAAATTGGTTTTTATTGATTGATTGATTGAGGTAGAATGTCACTTTGTTGTCCTTGGCAGAGTGCTGTGGTGTCATAGCTCACAGCAACCTCTAGCTCTTGGACTGAAGCAATTCTTCTGGCTCAGCCTCCCAAGTAGCTGGGACTACAGGAAGCCACCAAAATGTCTGGCTATTTTTAGAGATGAGGTCTTACTCTGGCTTAGGCTGGTCTTGAACATGTGGGCTCAGGCTATCCACCTGCGTTGGCCTCCCAGCAAGCTAGGATTATAGCCATAAGCCACCGCGCTGGGCCTACACCTAGCTAATTTTGTTTGTTTGTTTGTTTTGTTTTAGAGACATAGTCTCACTTTATTGCCCTTGGTGAGTGCCATGGCATCACAGTTCACAGCAACCTCCAACTCTTGGGCTTAAGTGATTCTCTTGCCTCAGACTCCCAAGTAGCTGGGACCACAGGCGCCCGCCACAACGCCCAGCTATTTTTTTGTTGCAGTTTGGCCGGGGCCAGGTTTGAACCCACCACCCTTGGTATATGGGGCCAGCACCCTACACACTGAGCCACAGGCACCACCCTAATTTTTGTATTTTTAGTAGAGACAGGGGTCTTGCTCTTGCTCAGGCTAGTCTCAAACCCCTAAGCTCAAGCAATCCTCCTGCCTCAGCCTTCAAGAGTGCTAGGAGTAAAGGTGTGAGACACCATGCCCAACCTATTTTTTAATTTTTTTTTCAAATTTAATTTTTTTTTTTTTTTTGAGACATGTATCTCACTATGTCGTCCTCGGTAGAGTGCAGCTTACAGCAACCTCAAACTCTTGGGCTTAAGTGATTGTCTTGCATCAGCCTCCCATGTAGCTGGGACTACAGGTGCCTGTCACAACGCCCAGCTATTTTTTGTTGCAGTTGTCATTGTTTAGCAAGCTCAGGCTGAGTTCGAACCTGCCAGCCTCTATGCACGTGGCTCGCACTGTAACCACTGTGCCACAGGTGCCAAGCCTTAATTAGTTAATGTATTTATTTTTAGAGACAGAGTCTCCTTTTGTCACCTGCAGTAGAATGCCTTGGCGTTATCATGGCTCACAGCAATCTTAAACTCCTGGGTTCAAGCAATCCTTTTGCTTTAGACTTCCAAGGAACTGGGATTAGGGGCAATTTTTAGAGACTGGGTTCTTGCTGTTGCTCAGGCTGGTCTCCAACTCTCGAGCTCAGGCAATCCACTGGTCTCAGTCTCCCAGAGTGTTAGGGGAGATGGAGTCTCACTTTTGCTCATGCTGGTCTCAAATACCTGAGCTTAAGCACTCCTCCCACCTCAGCCTCCTAAAGTGCTAGGATTACAAGCATGGGCTACTGCGCCCAGCTGAAAAAAATTTTTCCAAGATTATGATCTCTCTATGTTGCCTAGGCTGGAGTGCAGTGGCTATTCACAGGCAGGATCATCGCACTTTACACCCTTAACCTCCTTGGCTCAAGCAGTCCTCCCACCTGAGCCCCCTAAGTAGCTGGTTATATTTTAAAATGAAATAACTAAAAATCTGGTTGCAACATCTTTCTCTATGTATGATCCGGGACTCCTTGATCTTAAAGCTTCACTGGTGGCCTTGTGGTGAACTTTCATTTGTAAAACCACTAGCTATCTGTACCTAGAGAAAAACATCCTCCAATATCCTGCCTCCTAATAATCTGAGTTCAGGGTGGGGAAAGGAAAATCAGAGTGTGACCTTTAAATCTGCAAATTTCCACCTGCCCATCCCCCTTTCTAATCCTATGGCATCTTCATCTGAGCCATTCCTTTTCCAGGCATTCCCAATGGCAGTGGGGAACCCATCTGGGTGGCTGGCACTGAACTTCCTGCTCTTGGCTGTGGTGGTGTCTTTCTTGGGCTCAGCCCTATCCATAGATGAACCACGGACCCATATGCTGAGGAAGGAGTCAATGATGCGGCTGGGTGGGCAGCTGGTGCTGGACACCCAGGAGGAGAAGGTCAATGAGAAGCTCATGACCATCAAAAGAGAAGAGATGACTGAGGCCATGAAGACCCTCGTGTTCCCACCCAGCATGCACTTCTTCCAGGCCAAGCACCTCATTGAGAAAAGTCGGGTGTTTAATATCCTGAGGAAAATGCCAAAAGGTAGAGATTGGAGGTCATTTTGGGGGGTCCTGGGAAGGTAGAGGGGACTAAACTTGGAGCTGTTATTTTTTTCTTTCTTTTTTTTTTTGAGACAGAGTTTCACTTTGTCATCCTTGGTAGAGTGCTGTGGCATCATAGCTCATAGCAACCTCAAAGTCTTGGGATCAAGCAATCCTCTTGACTCAGCCTTCCACTTATAGCTGGGACTATAAGTGCCTGCCACAATGCCCAGCTATTTTTAGAGATGAGGTCTTGCTCTGGCTCAGGCTGGTCTCGAATTCCTGAGTTCAAGCAATCCTCCAGCCTCAGCCCTAAGTGTTACGATTACAAGCATGAGCCACAGAGCCTGGCTTCTTTCTTCCTTTCCTTTCCCTTCTTTTCTTTCTTTTTTTTTCTTTTTTAAAGATAGGGTCTTACTCTTGCTCAGGCTGGCCTCGAACTCTTGAGTTCAAGCAATCCTCCTGCCTCAGCCTTCCTGAGTGCGAGGACCACAGGTATGAGGCACTACACCCCACTGGAGCTGTTATTGTTGTTGGAGCTGGTGTTCTGAATGGAGAAGAGAGAGCTCCATTTAGCTTCTCTGCTCCTCTGCTCTAACTGCCTGGATAGGAAAGGGGTATTTTATTATGGCTGTTGGTTCACTCTGGAATCCAAAGCCCCTGTTTCCTTGAGGACTCAGCCTCAAAGACAGTCAGGATTGGCCTGAATATTCCTGGTCTTCCCTGACAAAGCTGGAAAATTGTCTGGCTATGAGACAACATCCAGGGGCCAGAGAACCCTTCAGAGCTTTCCTCACAGCCTTTCTGCTACCCTTTTTCCAGGAGCGGTTACCAGGCAGGATACAATATGATATATTATCCTTGGTAGTATAAACACACTTCTAGGAATAGTAAAATAATTATAATCCTGCACATATAAATAGCAGTCTGCTGCTTAGAAGGACTTTTCTATACCCTTTTTTTAAAATCACATAAATAGGGATTCCTTTTTTTTCTTTTTGAGACAGAATCTCACTTTGTCGCCCCTGGTAGAGTACCATGGCATCATAGCTCATAGCAACCTCAGACTCCTGGGCTCAAGCAATTCTCTTGTCTCAGCCTCCTGAGTAGCTGGGACTACAGGCAGCCACCATAATGCCCAGCTAATTTTTAGAGATGATCTCACTCTTGCTCAGGCTGGTCTCTAACTCCTGAGCTCAGACAATCCACCTGCCTCGGCCCCCCTGAGTGCTAGAATTACAAGGCATGAGACACTCAGCCCTGCCCATAAATAGAGATTCTTGAATAAAATAACATTGGGAGTCTGTAAAGTAGCAACCCCAGTTGACGGGGCATGGTGAGAGGTGGCAATACAGCCAAGCTTAGGAAGCAGGGACACCTGTGCAGCGGCTAGTACCAGGGTCAGGTGCCACATGGGCAGACAGGGCTAAGACGCACCGTGTACTGCGTTGAGAAGAGCACCAGGGACACCCACCTGGTGTCTGGTCGGAAGGACACATGTGGGGGCCTCCAGGCTGAAACCTGCAAGCCAGAAGCTGCAGAGATGCAGACTCAGTGCTGGAGATAGAAAGTCTGCGGGTAGGGGGTGCGGGTGTGCAGGAGTGGCTGGAGAGCAGGAGGTTATCGAGGATAACCCGCAGACAGGACTGGGCCTGAGGCTCATTCTTCTGGCCTCCCCAGTCAGTGTTAGGGGGCAAGGCCCCACTGAAAGGCTAGGCTCCCAACAGAGGGCTGGAAGCTGAGGGCCTGGCTTGATCATCAGTCTTCTGATTCCAAGCCCAAGGTGCTTGCACCCCACATGCTGCCCTCACAAACTGAACAAGACTGCTGAAGCTTCTGACTCGTGAGGCAAGAAGCCTCCACACTTCAATTAGAGCCGAGAAGGCAGGGGCTGTCCAGAGCAGATAAGGACGAAGGACAGGGTGGCGCAGCTTAGGCACCATCTGAGCAAGGTGGCCAGACGGCAGTGCTTATCGGCCACTTCTTCCTGTGCGTCCTTGCTGTCCTCGCGAGTACTGCACCCTGGCAACTGTACTTCACTGCCTTGTCCCCCGTCTCCTCGCCTCTCTAGGGGCTGCCTTACACCTCCATGACTTTAGCATTGTGAGCATGGACTGGCTGGTGAAGAATGTCACCTACAGGCCCCACTGCCACATCTGTTTCACTACAAGGGACACCGTGCAGTTCAAATTTGCTGACCGGACTCCCACCACCCTGAAGTCAGAAGAATGTTCAAAGTGGATTTTGCTGGAGGATGTTCGTAAGCGGACAAAGAATGTCACTGAGTTTGACGACAGGTGAGTGCTAGTTTGGAAAGCATGTGTCACAGGCCTGTCATGGAGTGTGCAGTGCATAGGTGTGTCTCCCTTGGTACAGCCCACATATAACAATCTGACTTTGGGCGATGCCTGTGGCTCAAAGGAGTAAGGTGCCGGCCCCATATACTGGAGGTGGTGGGTTCAAACCCTGCCCTGGCCAAAAACTGCCAAAAAAAAAAAAAAAAACTGGCTTTATTTAGAGGATTAGGCAGCTTTTTCTCTTAACTTTATAGGGTACATGGCTTTACAAAAGCAATCAACATTTTGGCTTAGCACCTGTGGCTCAAGTGGCTAAGGCACCAGCCATATGCACCTGAGCTGGTGGGTTTGAATCCAGCAATCAACATTTTTTGTGTGTCCGTAGTAATTTCCTGGGGCATTTAAAATTTGATTTAATCTGCAAAAGGTATTGTCAACAACACTGTTGTTGCCACAAATGAGATTTGTCTTGATATCCAATAAGATCAGAGAGAAGGCTCGGCGCCTGTGGCTCAAGTGGCTAAGGCGCCAGCCACATACACCTAAGGTGGCGGGTTCGAATCCCCAGCCCGGGCCCGCCAAACAACAATGATGGCTGCAACCAAAAAATGGCCAGGCGCTGTGGCGGGCGCCTGTGGTCCCAGCTACTTGGGAGGCTGAGGCAGGAGACTCGCTTGAGCCTAGGAGTTGGAGGTTGCTGTGAGCGTGATGCCATGGCACTCTACCCAGGGGGATAGCTTAAGGCTCTGCCTCAAAAAAAAAAAAAGACCAGAGAGAAGTCCCTAGCTCTTGAAGTGACAGTCTTGCTGGGAGATGATGCAGCTTAAAAACACAATGGAGCAACTTCCTAACGACACATATAGCGAGATTATACTAACACTATTTTAGTTATAGAGTGCTTTCATGAGGTTATTTTTCTTTATTAGATAAGAAACATGATACAGCAAGGTCAGGCAAGCTGCCTGAAGCTACACGACTGGGAAGTGGCCAATCAGGCACACAAAGCTGGATTATGTAGTGCCAAGTCCAGAGTGATTCCCGTCACATGGCCTGCATTAGTCTGCTCATGCTGCCGTAACAGAATACCACAGGCCAGGTGGTTAAACAGCAGGAGTTTATTTTCTCACAGTCCTGGAGGGTGGAAGTCCAAGATGAAGCTGCTGGCATAACAGGTTTCTCTTGAGGCCTGTCCGCTTGGTGTCCTCACATGGTCTCTTCTCTGTGTGTGTACTCCCAGTGTCTCTTCCTGTTCCTATAAAGTTCTGGTCGTATTAGAATAAAGCTGTACTCTTATGACCTCACTTAACCTTGACTATGTCCTTAAAGGCCCTATTTCCAAGTGCAGGCAGTTTGAGGTTAGTGCTTCAACATTTGAATTTGGGCGGGACACAGTCCATCTGTAACTCCCACCAAGAGAGCTTGGTCTGGGATGTGAGCACTGTGTGGTCAGCGAACCAAAAGTGTGGAAGGAGAACAGACGGGCCTGGCTGGTGCTGTTTTCTGGGGACGGTGAGCAACAGTGGCTTCCTAGCCACGAGGACTAGGCTCATACTGGACGCCCCAGCCACTTCCTAGTGTCCCTTCCTTTGCTCTGCTCACTGGGACGCGTCCTGGTTTGCTTCTGGGTGGGAGATACAAAGTCGCCCTGCAGGTGCCTCTTCCACACACCCCCCCTTTGTCTTGATAGCCTGCTGAGGCATTTCACCCTGGTGACCAAGGACCCCGAGGTGACGTATACAGACCAAAATGTCGTCTGGTCAAGGTTTGAAAACATCTTCTCCACCATCTCTGGCCTTGTCCATTACGCACCAGTGTACAGAGACTACATTTTCCGGAGCCTGGAGGAGTTCTATGAGGACAACGTGTTCTACATGGAGATCAGGGCCATGCTGTTCCCGGTGAGCCCACACTACCCCCGTCCCCTCCTCTCCTCTGCTCTAGCCTGATGCGCACCTCTCTCTTGCTAGGACTGAATGCTTATGGATTTACCTGTAGATCTCTGGCGCAAGGTGACAGGTACCTTTCCAGGGCCACCATGAGCAAGGAAACCTGAAATGGACAGGATTGCTCCAGCAAATCTGGGGATGCAGCCCTCACTGCCCTGTGCCCCTGTCTGATGGTTCCCTACTTCTCTCCTCCACTGTGTTGCACAGTCTGTTGGTGGGAGGAGCTGGGGAGTGGCAGCCATGGAGGGAGGAGAAAGAGGACATGGAGAAAGGCCTTTAGGAGTAAAGGAGCCACATGACAGAAAGTCAGAGGGAACCTTTGAGCAGTTTCAGTGGTGTGCTAAGAAGAGAAGCCCAACTTCTGGGGGTAGAAAACGGAATGTCGGTGATAACCAGAAACTAGATTTGGCTGACTGAAGCCCCAGGCTGTGATTTAAGAGGCAGAAAGTAGAGGTAGCTAGAGGGGAACACAGAGGCTTCTTTTTAGGGTGGAGAAACTTCTGTTCACATAAGGAAGGAGCATGGAGAGGTTAAAAATAGGGGGAGATAGGCAGCGCCTATGTCTCAAGGGAATAGGGTGCCAGCCCCATAGCTGGAGGTGGTGGGTTCAAACCCAGCCCCTGGCCAAAATTGCAAAAAAAAAACAAAAAATGGCGGGGGGGAGAAAGAGAGCAGGATGTCCCTTAGGACAAAAGGAGGGGTCACCCTAGCACCCAGGAAGTGAGACTGTCCCACAACCTGAGAATGTTCTCTAAGACCAGAGGGGAGGTAGGTGTGGAGGGCATACATTGGGTGGCCGTGGTTGCAGAGGGAGGCAGGGCAGGACCATAGTGGGCAAGGCAAGGACACTGCTGAGACTGAGGGCAGTGCATGTTTGAGGAAAACTCTTGGGGATGGGAAGGTTGCTGATCCCAGATGATGGAAGCAATTCCCGGAGATGCTGAGAGCCAGCCCAGGCCAGAGACAAGATTCTGTCACAGTCCACACTGTGCGTGCGTCCTACTGCGCAACCCACCCATGGAGCAGACAGTGGCTTCACTGAGCCCAGGTTAACAGGATGAACAAAGTGGAAGAACTGGAAGGCGAGGAGGGCTTCTCAGCTGGAGGAGTATGAGGATTAGGAGGTGGGCAGGTGGATGAGGCAAGCAGAAAATGAGATAGCAGGAACTTGCAGAGTGGCCACCGAGGAGGTGAGTGACCTGGAAAGGTAGGGCTAGGCAGAAAGTGGTAAGTATGAGCTCAATTTGTCAGAGTGGAGCTGCTTGGGTGAGAACTTCCAGGGGGATTGCTAAAGTGCAAGATCTAAGGGGGCAGTGTCCTTGGGATCTAGTGTGCCCAGGAAGACCTAGGATGAAGCAACTTGGAACCATGACAAGTACTTTAGGGTACTCTCCTAAAATTAGCTGAGAAAGTGGGATCCATGGAGCACTAATTCTAAGAAGATGTTAAAAACAATTCAGATTTTAAGGAAGAAAAGTTGAAGAGAGAAATGGAAAGGATTAGGAAGAATCCAAAAGGAGGGAGCATCATCATAACAAATCTGACTTTAGGGCCTTGCATTTCAGCCAGAAGCAAAGGATGATTTCGGGTACTATGAGAATGACCAACTGCAGATTTGCAGACTGGAGCTGGGAGAAGTGGACGCTCTTTGTTGGTAGGGGAAGGGTCTGTTGAGGAGAGCAGCCCTAGGTGATCACATACTACTAGGAAATTATTTTTGCAAGTCTAGTGAAGAGAACTTTCCTGAAGACTTTTTTTGCAGGGGGAGGGAGAGGTGGATGGGGTGTTCAGTGTGTGGGCCTGATTCCTAAGTGCCCCATGTGATAGGGTCACAGAATTTGAGCTAAATACTTTTAGTGGCTTGGGAAAAGTGACCTTTGGGTAGAGTTTCCTTCACATTGTATCTAAAATAATGTGCTCATTCATTCAAAAAAAAATTTTTTTTTTTTTTTTGCTGAGGCTGGATTTGAACCCACCACCTCTGGCATATGGGGTTGGTGCCCTACTCCTCTGAGCCACAGGAACCACCCCATTCATTCAAATTTTTATTGACTATGCAAATACTTTGGTGACTGACCTTCAAGCCTGTGAAAGGGTCCACAGGGTGGCAACATTTTGGTGTTATTTTAGCATATTATTTTATCTTTATAATCTCGGAAATTTTATTATTATTATTATTTTTGAGACAGAGTCTTGCTATGCTGCCCTCGGTAGAGTGCTGTGGCATCAGAGCTCATAGCAATCCCAAACTCTTGGGCTGAAGTGATTCTCTTGCCTCAGCCTCCCAAGTAGCTGGGACTACAGGTACCTGCCACAGTGCTCGGCTATTTTTTTGTTGTAGTTGTTTAGCTGGTCCAGGTTGGTTCGAACCCGCCACCGTGGGTGCATGTAACTGGCTCTGTAACGACTATGCTACGGGCGCTAAGCCAGAAATTTTATTATTTATAGACCCAGAGTGATAGGACTCCAGAGGATTGATACACACTGACAAAATTCATAAGGAATGAATGTATAAACAAGAAAGTCAGAATGGAGCTACCATTCAGACCAGACACTCCTGCTTCCTAGTCAGGAATTTTTTTGCTTGAAGCCAAATCATAGTCATCAGTTTGGTGAGCTAGAGGCCTAATGAGCCCCTCACTGAGCTTTGAGAATTTAAGACTTGGTAACACTGTTCTTAACCTTTGGAAAATCTGTTAAAAGCTATGTCTCTGGGCTCGGCGCCTGTGGCTCAAGTGGCTAAGGTGCCAGCCACATACACCTAAGTTGGCAGGTTCGAATCCAGCCCAAGCCCACCAAAAAATACAACAATGACGGCTGCAACCAAAAATAGCCGGGCGTTGTGGCAGGGGCCTGTGGTCCCAGCTACTTGGGAGGCTGAGGCAGGAGACTCGCTTGAGCCCAGCAGTTGGAGGTTGCTGTGAGCTGTGATGCCACAGCACTCTACCCAGGGGGATAGCTTGAGGCTCTGCCAAAAAAAAAAAAAAAAAAAAGCTATCTCTCTGGCAGAGATAACGCCTGTAATTCCAGCACTCTGGGAGGCTGAGGCGGGAGGATCCTTTGAACATAGGAGTTTGAGACCAACCTGAGCAAGAGAAAACTCTCAAATCCACAAAAATAGAAAAATTAGCTAGCCATGGTGGTAGGCACCTGTGGTCCCAGCTACTCAGGAGGCTGAGGGAGCAGGATCACTTGAACCCAGGATTTTGAGGTTGCAGTGAGCTATGATGATGCCATTGCATTGTATAGGGTGACAGAGTAGGACTCCATCTCAAAACAACAAAAAAACCAAAAAAACCCCTCCCAAAACAAAAACTCAACCTGGCAGCACCCATAGCTCAGTCACTAGGGCGCCAGCCATATACATCAAGGCTGGTGGGTTGAACCCAACCCGGGCCAGCTAAAATAACAATAAAAATATTGCCAGGCGTTGTGGTAGGCACCTGTAGTCCCAGCTATCTGGGAGGCTGAGGCAAGCGAATCACTTAAGCCCTAGAGTTTGAGGTTGCTGTGAGCTGTGATGCCACGACACTACCTAGGGCGACAGCTTGAGATACTGTCTCAAACGAAACAAAACAAAACAAAAAAACCAACCAAACCTGAAAAATTGAACAAAAAGTGATCACCCTTTCCCCTATAAACAAAAAAGTACTACAATAAATTGAGTATTTAAGACAATATTTTTACAGCTATCCATATACATCCATAAACTGAAACAGATGTTTCTGAAATAATGCATTGCATATGGACTCTGATATTTTTGCTTTGTTTCCTTTTCAAAAGTTCTGGTTAGGATTCCTAAATCGACTTTCCTATCCTTATACCATGAAGACTACAGCTGCCCCAAGAGCCAGTTATTCCAGTTTGTGAGTCCCTTAATCTGAGAAAAAACTTCCTCAAGTCTCAACTTTCCCTTTTCTTTGGATCCTGGACTGACCCACCCTTTTTCTTAGATATATTAGTACCTTCAGACAATAGAGTCAAGGTTGGACCCAGGAGAGTCCAGTCACTCAGGTGACTTGGCTTATTTTATTTTATTTATTTATTTATTAGCCAGGGCTGGGTTTGAACCTGCCACCTCTGGCATATGGGGCCGGCGCCCTACTCTTTTGAGCACAGGTGCCACCCTATTTTACTTTATTTTTTGCAGTTTTTTTTTTTTGGCCAGAGCTGGGTTTGAACCTGTCACCTCCGGCATATGGGGCCGGTGCCCTACTCTTTTGAGCATAGGCACCGCCTGACTTGGCTTATTTATCTCCACTTGGATCTGTTGCTTGTTTTAATTAATTAATTAATTTAGAGACACAGTCTTATTCTGTCACTCTAGGGTTGAGTGCTATGGCATCATCATAGCTCACAGCAACCTCAAACTCTTGGGCTCAAGTGATCCTCTTGTCTCAGCCTCCTGAGTAGCTGGGACTACAGGTACCTGCCACAACACCCAGCTAGTTTTTCTATTTTTAGTAGAGCCAGGGTGGTCTCAACTCCTGAGCTCAAGAGATCCTCCTGCCTTGCTCTCCCAGACTGTTAGGATTACAGGCTCCTGTTGCTTATTTTATATTTTTTATTTTTTGTTGTTGTTGCAGTTTTTGGCTGAGGGCAGATTAGAACCTGCCACCTCCAGTATATGGGGCCTGCGCCCTACTCCTTGAGCCACAGGTGCCTCCCTGCTTGTTTTATATGTTAACATTCCTGAATTCTTAAGAAATCAAAGGCCCGGCTCGGCGCCTATAGCTCAACCGGCTAAGGCGCCAGCCACGTACACCTAAGGTGGCGGGTTCGAATCCCCAGCCCGGACCCGCCAAACAACA